ATCGGAACTAGCTCATCATGTGGGACGCACTAGCCCTTTCGGACCAACGTCATAAAACATACCCGCGTAGAAAACACAAGAACGAAACAAAAACTCGCCCCAACTTTGAGGCAGATACTGCTTGTTGATGTTGATGTTGATGACGTGCTGCTTGAGAAAGTCGACGTGGAGGAAGAAGTACTGGTACTGCTCGTGGAAGTAGAGGAAACTGATGTCGAGGTGGAGGAAGTGCTCGTGGTAGTCGTTGATGTTGACGAGCTTGACGTGGATGTGGACGAGCTTGACGTGGTGCTGCTAGTTGTGGACGACATGCTGGTAGAAGATGTGCTGGTGCTGCTTGTGGATGTAGTCGATGTACTTGAAGTTGTGGACGTCAAAGTCGTGGAGCTCGAAACGCTGGTCGAGCTGGTGGCAGATGTGGTTGAGGTGACTGTGGTTGTGGATGTCAGGCTTGTCGACGATGTCAGAGTCGTCGATGTAGTGACAGAGGTCGTGCTGGTGACGGTTGTGGTGCTCGTAACACTCGTGGTGCTACTGAAAGATGTCGTCGATGTAGCCGTAGTGGTGGATGTAACGCTAGTGGTGCTGGAGACGGATGTCGTGCTGGTGACAGTTGTGGTGCTCGTAGTTGTGGTGCTCGTAACACTAGTGGTGCTACTGACTGATGTCGTGGATGTAGCCGTAGTGGTGGATGTAACGCTGGTGGTGCTGGAGACGGATGTCGTGCTGGTGACAGTTGTGGTGCTCGTAACACTAGTGGTGCTACTGACTGATGTCGTGGATGTAGCCGTAGTGGTGGATGTAACACTGGTGGTGCTGGAGACGGAGGTCGTGCTGGTGACAGTTGTGGTGCTCGTAACACTCGTGGTGCTACTGAAAGATGTCGTCGATGTAGCCGTAGTGGTGGATGTAACACTGGTGGTGCTGGAGACGGATGTCGTGCTGGTGACAGTTGTGGTGCTCGTAACACTAGTGGTGCTACTGACTGATGTCGTGGATGTAGCCGTAGTGGTGGATGTAACACTGGTGGTGCTGGAGACGGATGTCGTGCTGGTGACAGTTGTGGTGCTCGTAACACTAGTGGTGCTACTGACTGATGTCGTGGATGTAGCCGTAGTGGTGGACGTAATGGTTGTGCTGCTTGTTGTCACGGATGTAGTCGATGTAATTGAAGTTGTGGACGTCAAAGTCGTGGAGCTCGAAACGCTGGTCGAGCTGGTGGCAGATGTGGTTGAGGTGACTGTGGTTGTGGATGTCACGCTTGTCGACGATGTCAGAGACGTCGATGTAGTGACAGAGCTCGTGCTGCTGACAGTTGTGGTGCTCGTAACACTTGTGGTGCTACTGAATGATGTCGTGGATGTTGCTGTAGTGGTCGACGTAACACTGGAAGTGCTGGAGGCGGAGGTTGTAGATGTTGCACTGGTTGACGTTGTTGTCAGAGTTGTAGTGGTAGCCTAATGGTGTCTACGCTTTTGCAGGCTTGTCTTCTGGGCTAGTTCATGAGTGCCAGACAGCTAGACAATTGGACGTGCAACAATCCCAAACCGTACGCCACAACCTTACAGTCTAGACTTCACACGGCAACCAAAAAGCAGACACAGCCGCTGAACCGCTTCAGGAAGGAAGAAAAAGGTTCAGGAACGAAAGCAAAAGAATGAAAGATGATAGAAGTTTGAACGTTGCCATCCGAGCCGAGTCAAAGCCAAACTCCAACAAGCCATGTTTGTTTCTGAGGCTATTGCCCCTTTTTCGAGTCCCCGACACTCGGGACCTGCCCCCACCCCCCCCACCCCCCCCACCCCCCAGCCGACCCAAAGAAAGCCAAGCCATGCGTTTGAAAGCCTGGCCTGTTCTTACCTGTTCTTTGGAAAGTTTGCACCATTGCAACCAAAGCCGAGCCAACCAGGCCATGATTGTTTCAAAGAAATTAGAGGCTACTTCTCGCTTCGCAGGCACCCTTTCGATCCAACGAAACACCTGGGAAGGAGAAGTGTGCCGGGGGGCACTGACACTACTTTGCACATGGGGCTGCGCACCCCCCCCCCCCTCCCCCCAACCCCCACCCCAACGTTGGTTGCTGGATGTCTTGACCGTAGTCCCGACTGCCTCAAACCCAAAAAAGACTAGCGGGCCTCGAGCTGACACCCAGAAAATTCAGCCCGAGAGTCAGCTTGAAGACGCCGGTCAAGGTCACCCTCAGCTCCTCAAAAAGTCAGGAGCGCTTGGGGCCTAGTGATGCTAACGTCTCAGGGCCTTGAAACCTTGGAACGTCCAGGAGGTGTAAGATGGTGTAAGTCTAGAGCTTGCTGTCAAGGTTGAAGGTTTTGCGTCTAGGGATTCAAGGTCACGGATGCAAGCGTCCTGCCACCCAGCCCAGCCGATACGCATCCGTCATGTTGACCGATGCAAGAGGAAATCCAATTTCAGGATCACCTTCTTCTCAAGGTGCCAAGGTTCAGGGTTTGGGGGTGTTAGGGATGATTCGGGCTTCGGTGCGCACGTGGAAGCCCCAGACCCAAGTCCACACAGCCTACAGCAGCCTAGCATCAAGCATGTTCGTGTATGGCTTGGGCTGTAGTCCAAAAGGGTGAGCGAACTTCATGCGACCTGCGTCTACGGCTGAAAAGTGTAGCAAGACTTGGTAAGGCTCCATGCAAACAAGCAGCCGCCATGCTTTGAGAATGTGAAACCAGCGCTTTGCTCAGCATGAACGCTGTCCTGCACAGCAAAGCTTCGCCACACAAACCAGCTCTCCAAACATGACATCCACCCGACAACAGGAGAACTTTGCATCCAAGAGGCTGGAAAATACTCTTGAGAGAGTGATTTGGTGAAAGAATGACCTGCAAAGGGGGTCTGCACTCAACACATCTTACCAGCCCTCCTTTCTTGTCGCTTCTCCGAAGCAGCATGAGCCCATTCCTTCCTTGAAACCACACCACCTAAGACCTCCAATGCAACAAGACCAAAACTCCGAATCGCCATGACAAGAAAACAACCACCACCGCCACCATCAGCATGGAAAGAGGGCCAGGCTGAGAGCCAGGTGCCCTGCCTGGCTGACGTTCTCTCCACGTCTCATTGCCAAGGCCGGGCACCCCCGTGTTCTGGCAGAGCGAAGAGGGTGGCTCGAGTGAGAAGGCTTAGATGCATGGGTTGTGCGGGGTCTTCACCCGAAATTAGCCAAAAGGTTGGAGGGTTTGTGACGGCCTCTGCATGGTGAAGCTGCTTCGCAGGTAAGAACCTGCCCCGCTCACAACAATCCACAAACAAAGCATACGAGATGCTAGCCAATGCTGGGAGGTGCACCTGAGAAGTGCGACGGCCAGCACGCTCACGAAAGTCAAGCCACAAGCGCACGCGCGCACCTGCAGTCAATCCGCAAAGCCGGCGAACGCGAAGGCCGACACAAATTCTGCACATGCCTTCTCCGGAGCCGCCATCACCCAGGAGGCGGAGCCATGGTGTTGCGGACCCTTGAATGGCTGTGGTCGAAAAACCGATTTTGTTTGCGAACTTGTTGGTATCTGAACAAACCACACCTCTCTCCATTACCTTGTGCAACACTGCATCGCTAGTCCTGAAATTTATGCGTCGGTGTGGGCTTCTTTTTTGGAAACTTGGACGAGCTAAAGCACCTACAGGCCGTTGTACTGGCCTCTACATATGGGCTGCAGAACATTCGTCGCACATGCCCACGCTGGACAACAAGCTGAAAAATTCGAATGACCTCAATCCGCCAACAGCTTACAGGCATTGCCCGAAACATTCCACACTTACATGCCGCTTGGTCCATGCTTCGGATAAGCCGGCGAACATGTGAGTTTGTGTGATGCTGGGCGCATGTGGGAGTGTCGCCGCCTGTGCATGTAAGCTGCACTTTCGCCATGGCATGTCTGGCGGAGCGGGTTACCCGATTGGAGGCGTAGCTGTCAGTTTTGGAGAGACCTTGTGCAAAGGACACGTGTGTGTCTTTGCTTGTAAGTGGCATAATTTTTCTCGTCTCGACTGGAGCGACGACAGGCAGGGAATCAAACAAAAAACGCTCAGTCCACCCAGTCAAGCCAAGCCTCAAGAAGTTCAATCGCATGACAGGCACAGGCTGTACGCACCCTGCAATGTCCCTAACCGTAGCCCGCTGCGAGGAGGTTTGCAGACACGTTTTGTCGTATGTGGCTTTTCAACAGCAGCATTGAACGGGTCAGGTCAGAGATCTTGCAAACTCGTGCGCGTGTGGCGCATACTGTTGCTGCAGCCCTGTCAATTTCTCAGCATCGTGGCATTCCACAACGCCAGGGTCTGTTGCACCTGCCCGCATGGAGGCTCGGGCGCATCTGCCCGATTGAATAGCTGGTTCCAGACTGGCACTGGGAACCCTAACCCTAAACCCTCAACCCTAAATCCTAAGCGGAACAACATCTCAGGATAACAAGGAACCAGTCCAGTTAGAACCTGGCAGGTAGCAGCAAGAAGACCTGAAACATTGTTTCGGCCCCAGTGCCTCAAAAAGGCGCATACGTATTCTAGGTATCTTCGACGGGATTTGTGTAAGAAGAGTTGGCAAGCGTCGCTGTGCCCAGAAACAAGCACACCCTGCTCACAACAAGTAGTGGCAACAGAGCCTGGAGACTGTCAAAGGCAAATACTCACTGAAAAGGCTTAGCACAGCGCTCACACAGCATCTCAGCCAGGATGGAGCAGTCACTTTGACAGGAACGCTGGCGTCCAGCGCTTTCGGATCTGGCTACTCTCAGTGGTTTCTCAAAGTTACCTGCGCTAGTCTTACAAGCTCTTGGGATGGACCAGCACTAGCACGAATAGCACCCACATTCAAGCCACGTGTCTCCGAAAACTGCCGGAATCCCGCATGTGCTACCCTCCTTGTGAGAGCTGGCGCCTCAACTCATAGAAGTAACAACCCATAGGCCATTTTTGAAGTCAGAGCATGGACAAGAGCCCCCCTCAGAAGTGCTGCAGGCGTTCATCACCTCCGAGCGCTAAATGAAATTCTCCTTGCTGTCACCGTTTTGCTTCTCAGACCCAAAGGGCATGCTCAGCTCAAGACGATCCAGGCCCTTCAAAGGCAAATGCTCGTACTCGGGCCAAAGGGTGATGAGAACATACTTGCCAGCTGGGTCGATCTTGTACTTGCAACGATCCACTGCCAGGAGCCCCGGAAACAAACTCGATGAAGCTGTCCATGCATAGCCTTCGCAGTCAACAGCTTGGATGGTGAATCTCATGATCATGAAGTGCACATGCACATCACGGAAGGTCGTTCCAAAGCGACTGAAGCTTTGTGGCGTTAGGCGAATGCGCACACGCCCCGAATCCTTCGACGTGGGCCTGCCTTCCTCGCAGGCCACGCTGGGCGCTTCTCTCTCATTCTTTTGTTCTGCAGCCTTCTCCGTGACCTTCATTCCCATGATGCTTTGTTGGGTCTCAGATTGCGCTTCGATCGGATCTTTTCCCGGGATGTCGCTGTGCTTCTCCTGCAGCTTCTACAACCTTAGGCCCGGAGGCCTAAGCTCTAACGCCCAAGACCTAAAGCGTTCATCTTAAACCCTAAACCCTCAAGGAGCGCTCTCCTGCTTGCTGGGCGTGACCAGACCTGGGCTCACAGGAGAGCCAAAGCTGGAGGCCGCGCACGTCTTGTTCTTGACTCTCGGTTTCTTCCAAACCTAGGTCGGCCCATACCCTGTGAGAAAGATGTTCCCAAATAGGGTCTTCTCAAACAATAAAGGAAAACACAAAAACGTCCAAAGGGCCTAGGAACCCCTGGCGAGGTCTTGATTGACGAGCTACCAGAGCCGAATCGACCACCACCACTCGCGGGATCGAGGTCAACTTTGGCCACGGGGTGACACGCGATCTCCGAGCTAGAGGAGCCGTACACAAAGTCATAAGAATTGGCTTTGGTCTTTTGACTGCAAGTTGCATGCATCTTCGAACCATCCCCCGGACCCGGACATCTTCTCAGCGCTTGGTGGATCGTGGCGAGCATTGCCGTCCGACTTTCTCGAAAGGTTAGCTTAGCACTAACCTGGAGCCAGAGGGCTTGGGTAAAAGGATTGCAGAGTACCCCACACCGAACACCCTGAGCAGTTAAAGGGTCGAGGGCTCTCAACACAATCAGGCTGAGGGCCTTGTCGCGAGGCTCTTTTTGGCTCTGCGGACTTCAGTATACCGGGCCCCTCAACGTACACGCAAGGTACACACGAACTTTATCGGACAAAAAACATGCCCCTCAATACATTGACTGAGGCACGAAAAGGTCAAGCCTAACGGGGCCTAACAAGCCTTCATCTTGCCATTACTAAAACTGCTGCTGCGACTGTCCCTACGTGGGTACTTTGAGGCTCCAGGCAAGGCTGGCTAGGTACGCCACCCTCTCAAGAAATTTCGGTATACCAGGCATTTAACGACTCCCCAACGCGCTACACTGGGAACCCAAACTCAGCCAAACTCCCTCCCTCCCCCCTTCTCTCTACACTCTTCGCGCACGCGCCTCGATCAAAGCCCATCTCTGCAGTTTCTTTGGGGTACTCATGGCAACGCCGATGTGGGTTCACTTTGCTTGCTGTTGTGGAGTCTGCCTCGACAAAACTCATAAGCAAGCACACCAAGCCACCAAAGCCCGTTGGTGCGGTGACGACGGGGGCAGGAAACCACAGATGATGCCCACATCCTGTGGGATCTCACTCTGCCCATGTCAAAGTATTCCCCAGGAAACGGCTCGCAAAGCATCCTTATTGGACATTTGTACTACCGATTGCCAACTACCTAGTGACCTAAAGTTGCGTAAGTGGGGGTTTACGATCACTCTGATTGAGAGCCCCAAATATAAGGATCCCCTTTGAATAAGGAACTCAAAAAAATACTCCTAATATCGTAAATCCCCAAGTGAGCTGTACAGTTCGGATTCATGTCACGGTCTAATAATCCGCTTCATGAGTACTGTCAAACTGTCAAACCCTGGGTTCAAGACCCAGCAATTCGCAGTTTAAGAACGCTCTGTTTTTTGGAAACTGCCGGATCTGAGTGCTCGTGATGCATGTGACCTCAAGATAGCACAACAGAGTCATCTTATCGGGAGTGAGCGATGAGCCGCATCGTTCCAGCTCGGCCCTTTACTCCCCGTCCGACTCCCCGCTATCATGGTTGGACAAAGGATCCAACGAGTCTCGGTCACGGAAGCATCTGTCACACACAAGGACTTTACCGCACGTTGATCCCGCATGCTTTGGTGAGCGAAACTGCTGAAGGCGTAAGGCCATCCGCACTGCGTTTTCCACAAAGCCGGAGGGACCAGCCTCTCATTCCTGAGAGTTTTGTGCAGCACTCCGGATTCTAAGTTGACAATGTTTCGCTGTCGACTTCTTCTCCAGGTCGCTCACTCGCTTTCTAAACTGAGCTTCTTCTGCCAGTTGCCCTTCGATTGGCATCCTTGGCGCATCGACCGTACTTATTGGTCTCGCAGCATGTGCCTTTGTTGAAATCCCGGCACAGCTCAACACCACGGCGGCTCGTAACGTACTGGCCCTCGGACACGTTGTGCAGTCGCTGCTCCTTCTTCAACTTCAATCCGGGCTTCTTCTTGGGCTGCTGCTGCTGCTCGGGGGCACGGGTCGTGGAGGTTGTAGGAGCGTCACCTTCCACAACGCTGCTCAAGGGTGTTGAGCGGCTGATGACCAACAGTCAAGGATCCTCGAGCTCTTCCTTCCAAAAACGGTTGTCTTCGATCAAGGCTCGCAAAGCCCATTCCCATGGTTTGGCCGGATTGAAATCATGAGAGGTTCCCGCAGCATCCGCTTGCGCTTTGGCTTCTGCGCCAATTCTTCGGCATCTTTCCCAATGCTCTTGACGGGCACGGACGTCTGCCTGAAAAAAGTAGATACCACACGGTTGAGCCATATCGGGAGTGGTACTTCTTAAGCATTTTGAGGTATGCATCGCAACGTGCTGGAGTGAGAATTCCCAGCATCACCGCAGCTGCACGGAACACCCTGAAGCAACCTTCCCATTGCTCGAAGGAGCCTGGGCCTGCCATTTCGACGACTTGGAATTCGCCATTGGGCAAAATCTGCATTCCTCTCAGCTTCAACTTTTTCAGCAAGCGATACTGGTGAGGACCCCACACCGCCAGATCTATACGGCGGAGCCCCTGAACCTACCACTGCATGAAGCGCAGTCAATTGCTCTCCCGTAGGTTCTTCGTCGTGGGCTGGGAAATCACCGAGCGCTGTCTTGAATCTCTGATAAGCTTCGGCGATCTTTGTCCTATCCAGGAGATGCTCTTCAGCATCATTGGTCTGATCAATCACCGAAGAGAGCTTGATCTTCTTCTTTGGCGATGCAGCTGCGTCACCAGCGCTTGTGTTGCTGGCCACCGGTGGAGCTGCCAGTGACAATGTCCCGGACTCCATGCCACACGCTACTCGACAGGCCCTCCCCACTAGTCCAGCTTGACCTCGTTGCGCTAAACTGGGAGGATGGGGACTGCCATCAGCCGTTGGCACTTTCCAGTTTGTGAGTACAGAGTCGTACTCAGCCTGCGGCGAAATGCCAATGACTTTATCAAGAGAATCGTTGTTAACCCCTAGGAGCGTCCACAATGATTTGCGGACATCATCAGCAGGGTGGCCCATTCAGCCGCTTGCCCCATCGTCTTGATGCGTTCGGCATCTTCCGGACTCAGGTTCATATTCTCACAGGTTTGTGTCAACAGCGAGATCGAGGGCCAAAATCGAAACGAAACGAAACAGAGCCCTCACCTGAGTAGCCTCGAGCAAGGTCAAGGCTCCGGCAAGGCTCAGTCCCCCCCGTCCCCCCGAGAACTCATTCGCTCGATTATTACTTCCATACCGCTGCGCTCTATTCACATCGACATAAGTTGCGGGGCGGCTGTTGGGTTCCGCTGTGCACAAGAAAATCATTTAAAAAACTGACCCAGACCCCACAACTCTGAGAACCCGACGTCGATGGCCCTTTGCTGCTCTACTTAGTTTAGGGGTTTAGGTTTCAGGGTTTTGTGCTCCAATTACGCAACTAGGGTTTTGAGGGATCGTGAACGAGCAGCAACTGCGTAGCACCGTTGCGGGGCAAAAGGTGAGCTCAAGGCCTGCGGGTGAATGAGAAATGAAACCAAGAAAAGTGGGCCTGAACCTACACCCTTGTATTACGGGAGGGTTCTTAGGGATCTAGAGAAAAGGAGATATTTACAATCTACAGGGGATGTGACCTCGACTGTACACTATACGGGGTCTAACAGGTGGAATTTCACACCCGTCTTATCTCCGAGTCACATCGACTCTTTGTCAGAAGCAAGGATATTTAAACCAGTTCTTCACTGTCTGAAGCGGGGGCCGCAAGGGAGTTCAAGGGGGCCTGAAGATAAGTGCTGGGCTTTCTGCACAAAAGGCAGCAGTCAATGAGGCCTAATACTTGCTGGGCCTTGTTGGAGGTTTTGGGCAGCAGTTTCAGAGGCCTAACACTCGCTGGGCCTTCTGTGTAGGGTGTAGACAACAATTTAAAAGTGCTGGGCCTTTGGGCAGCAGTTTAAGAGGCGTAATACTTGCTGGGCCTTCTGTGGAAGGTTTAGGCACCAGTGTAAGAGGCCTAATCTTGCTGGACCTTTTCTGGAAGGTCTGGGCAGCAGTTTAAAAGGCGGCTGGGCCTTCTGTGGAGGGTTTAGGCAGCAGTTTTAAGAGGCCCAATACTTGGGGCTTGGGTTTTCTTCCTGAGTTTTTATTTTCTTCCTTTTTTTTCTGCTTTCTTGTCGGGGACCACTTGGCTTCCCCCCTCTCTAGGAAAAAGCTACATTCCCTCAACATTTTCATAGGCTTCATACTACTTTTCGTAAGATTTCTCATTATCTAAGGATGGATTTCAACAAGATTCATAGGTTTTTAAGCACGCTTTGCACGGCTTAAATAAAGGGGGGGGGGCTTGGGGCGGGGGCGCAACCCCCCCCCCGCATTTGATTCATGTTTTTTTTGGTTCGTTTTTTTGGTTTTTCGATGGGTTTCAGCCAGTTTTCTAGGCTTTGAAGCATGCTTTGCACGGCTTAAAAGAAGCGGCGGGGGGGTTGGGGGGCTGGGGCGGCCCCCCCCAATTGCAACCACGATGCTCACACGATGGGTTTCAACAAGATGCATAGGCTTCGTCATTGGGTGGTGGTATTTTTTGCGTATTTTATTTCCGTCTTTTTTCTTATTTTTTTCCGGCCCCGTGGCATGTAGGCAAACAAGCAAAGCACGCACGCAAGCAAGCAAGCACGCAGGCAAGCAAGCAAGCAAGCTAGCAAGCAAGCAAGCACGGAAGCAAGCAAGCAAGCACGGAAGCTTGGAAGCAAGCAAGCAAGCGAGCGATCAAGCCAGAAAGCAAGCAAGCGCGGAAGCAGGCAAGCAAGCAAGCAAGCAAGCAAGCAAGCGAGCAAGCGAGCAGGTGAGGTGCTTGCGGGGCCTTGAGGGTTTGGGCAGCAGTTCAAGAGGCTTAATACTTGCAGGCCCTTCTGTGGAGAATTTAGGCAGCAGTTGAAGAGGCCTAATGGGAGCATATGATTGTGTTTGCAAGTGGGGGGGGCTGCCCCCCCTCTCTTCTTCTCTACATGTTCTTGACTTTTCGAATAATGACACAAGAACCAAAAACGGGAAAACGAGGGGGTTGGAATTAAGACTTGTTCTCTTCTTCTCCATTTCATCGTTACTCCTTTGATTCTCGAACAAAGAACACAAGAAACAAAAACAAGAAACGAGGGGTGAACAATTCTCTGCTCCTCTGATTTTATCGAACTTTTCCTGCTTTCCAGAAATGAACAAGAACCAAGATAAGAAACGAGGGGGTGGAATTTCGACTTATTCTCTCCTTCTCCACTTAATCTCTGCTCTGAACAGAAGAAACAAACGAGGGTGGTGGAAATGAGAATAATTCTCTTCTCTGATTCACTCCCAGTCTTTCCACTCTGCTTTTCTGTTGCCAGCCCACCCCTCTCCCCGTACTACC